ACTTGGGTAGGGACTTTAGTTTTAATTGTGGCTTAGACCAGTACTGTAAGATAAGTAGACTCTTTCTTCTTTTTTTTTTTATATAAAAATCGATGTCTATACTAATTTATTATTCTTTTTCTAGGCTCATTATACTATGTCTAGAGCTTGGGAGGCCAGGTCTTCTTGGAGGTAGCTTTTTGTTCAATCTCAATTTTGATCACCTGTCTCTGAAAAATTACTTTGCCCATCTCTAACCGGGATTAAGGACTGAGTCTTCTAGAGAATTGAATCTAGAACTTCGGACTTAATTTAATAGAATGGGCCATCTTCGACTTGAGTTTCTCTGGGTAGGCGACCTGAGGTTCTGTCGTTATCACCAAATATAACCGAAATATTCAGTTATAAAGGTGGGTTTAGGTCTTTGTTAGGAGAAATTCAAGACAAAGAGGCATTTTATTTAGATAGTTAAGACTTTGGGGCAGTGGATGATGCCTTTAACAAGTCTTTTTACAAGACGTTTTTATAAGAAAAACAATTACTAATGTTTAACTATTTATTCTCTAGACTAATCTTTCTAAAACTTATCACAAACCCTCCTTGTTATAAACCCATTTGAAATAAATTACTATCCTAACAATGTTATGCATAATGATCCTATGCATAATGATAATAAAGTAACGTATTCTAAATAAATAAATAAAAAATAAATATGCAAGTTGTTGGGCGAAAGGTCCGTCGGTGTCATGTAATCGTCATATGCATTGTAGTCACATAAGCATCATAGTGCATAACATTTACTATGGCCGATCTTATAATTCTGTTACAATATATTAAATAATAATAAGAAATAATAAATAACTAGAATATATGAATATAATATAATAATAATAATCAAGAAAAATAAGAAAAAGGAAATTCTATTACATATTTCTCTCCTTAAAATGCGAGGTCCTCTGAAGTATTCTAATATTAAAATAAACTTTGTTATCATTTACTATAAATGTACTATACTATTTTTAGATTTTATCAATAATATTCCAAAAGTTTCTATCAGCTAATCTGTTAAAGTTTAGCTTTTTAAACTTTATCAACAAATTATCAAGGCAGATTTTCATTTTCGATTTGTAACTTGTGACAATCAATAATTATAGTAATTCATTACTTCAAATATTATCGTGATCAACTTTAATTTGTTTAGATATTTTTAGTTTGTTCAAAAATAAGATTTTAAATCTATATTTAGAATCATATGATCTATCACATTGTTGTGGCTTTGCTTTGTAACAACTGATTATCAATTGTTCTAAAAATTTTTTCATCATTTAAAAATTTTCCTATTATTATCCATCATCATTATAAAACTGAAAATTTTATCGTTTAGTTTTCAACAATTTTTCCAAAGACTACCTTCACCATTCCAAGGTTATAATTACTTATCTTTTTACTTTTTCTAACTCCTATTATTTATGATTATCATACTAGTTCATAGAGAAACTTTGCTTTTTCACTAGATCACTTAGAGCTTTTTATTTCGATAAATTAACTCTTTGGATGCTCAGGTTAAAGCGAGAAAGGATCGTAGCTCAATATTTAGTATTGTACAGCTAGCCTTTTCTACTTTTATGCACGCTTCTTCCCTTTTGTTTTCTCTATTATGAAATATATATAACTTTTTTTTTTGTTGCTATTTTGTATTTTCAACAAAATATTAATAAACTTTGTATATATTTAGCTTGAAAAATGTCTCTTGAAAAGCATGGCTTCAATGTTATTCAAACCTTTGACTCCTTCTCCTTGACTTCTAATAATATAGTTACTCATCAAGACTTGCTTACATATATCAGTTCTCTTTAACATACTGTAGCAGCAGTTTCAAGCTCGTTAAATCAATTAGAAAAGAAGACCAAAGAATATTCGAGTGGTTCAAGTTGCCCAGGATGTGCACTTTTGCGCACGAAATTAAATAATACATATACCGAGCTTAAGAAAAGAAAATTATAAAAAGAGATGCTAAAAAAAATTAAAGACCTCAAAAAACGTATGATGGATTTAGAACAAGAAAATCTCTGATTTAAATTTTTAAATACAACTAATCTAATTAAAGAGAAGAGCAAAGAAAAAGAAAAAGATGATAATAATAATAATAATAATAATAATAGTATCCAATAATAAGTAATTGATTTGATATCAATATATATATATATATATTTTTTTTTTTTTGTTATTGTAAAAAATTTTTTTTTTGTTAAATAAAAATAAAATATACGCAATATCAAATAAAATAAAAGCTATTTTGTTGAAATAATAATAAAAAAAAAAAAAGTGAAACAAAATATTATATTAGCTAATAATTATAGTAGGTTCTCATAAAGGTTAGTCGAAGTATAATTTTAAATGATTAGCATTAATTGTTCTTTTTAAAATTTTATCATCCATAGAACAAAGTTTGTTAGCTCCTGGTGCAATGATATTATGAATATAATAAGGTCCTTTCCATTTTTCTCTGAATTTGTTACTATGTACTTTGGCTTGTGCTGATCGATATAATAAAACCTTATCCCCAATATGAACTGGAACTTCCTTAATATGCTCATCATATTTTCCTTTTGTTTTTGTTGAGCAAATTCAATATTTTGCTGGGCTTTTAACTGAACTTAATATAATCTATTTGTAACAAGATCAATATGACTTTGAAGCTGTTGTTCATAAGGAGGTTCCTCAGTATTATTAATAGAATTTAATGCTAAGTCCAAAGGTGTTACAGCTTTTTGACCATAAAGTAATTCAAATAGTTCATATTTAGTAGTGGATTAAGAGATAGTTCAGTAGGCAAATAGAGTAGCAGATATAAAAGTATCCCAAAAATCCTCATAGTCACTAACATATTTTGCTAAGATTGTATACAAAGTTTTGTTAAATCATTCAGTTAATCCATTAGTTTGAGGATGATAAGCAGAAGCAAGATGATGCTTAGTATTCATTAGTTGACAAAGCGAATCAACTAAAGTATTACAGAAAGATTTTCTTTGATTAAACAACAGTTTTTGTGGACATCCATGACGAATAATAATTTTATCATAAATAAACTTGGCAATGGTAGTAGCCTTTATATCAGATATGGCTTTAGCTTCAGGCCATTTTGTTAAATATTCAGTAGCTACTATAATATATCAATTTTCATTAGAAGTAATTTTCAAAGGTCCAATAATATCAATTCCAACTCGATGAAATGGAACTGAGACAGGTAATGGATGTAAAAATTTATTTTGTTTTGTTCCTCCTTGCCGTTGACAAGTATCACAAGTTTGAATATAGTTTGCAATACTTTTATACATTTTAGGCCAATAGTATTTGTTTTTAGCATGATTATAGATTCTATCAATACTAAAATATCTGGCAAGGATATCAGAATGTAGACTATATAGGACAGTAAGTAGTTTAATTCCTGAACTACATGTAATAATTTTTGTAATGACCCTTTTGGTTTCCTATATAATTGATTATTTTCAATAATATAGTGTATTGCTTGTTTTTTAAATTATTGTTGTTTCGTTAGGTTTAAGTTTAGGGATAATATCAAGTTGTTAAATAGTTAATAAAGTTGTGATAGAGTGTGGGTTCCATTTTAGTAAAAGTTTTTAAGTATTTCTCTTAGGATGGATTCCTAGAGAGACAAGAGAGTGCATCTATATTAGAATTGACTTGACCTTTTCGATATATAACTGTATAAGGGTAATCAGCAATTCGTTATATCTATCGAGTTATTCATTTATTAGGATTAGGTTGGTTTAATAGCCAACGTAAAGCAGAATGATTCATAATAAGTTCAAAAGTTCTAAGATAAATATAAGGTTAAAAATATTTCATTTCCCATACCACAGCAAGACATTCAATTTCGGTTGGAGAGTAATTGATTTCAGCAGAATTTAGAGACCTACTTGCATAAGCGATTACATGCTCATGATTATCATCATCTTTTTGAGCAAGAATAGCACCTAAACCCAAATAAAAAGCATCAGTATATAAAATAAAAGGCTTAGTAAAATCAGAGTATTAAAAAATAAGTGTAGTTGTTAATTTTTGCTTAAGAATATCCATTACTTGTTGACAGGTTTCAGTTCAAACAAAAGGAGTATCCTTTTTTAACAACTTATTTAGAGGTTTAACAATTCGTAAAAAGTTTAAAATAAACTTTCAATAATATGAAGCAAGGCCAATAAATCTACAAAGTTCAGTAAGATTACGAGGTGCAGGATAGTTTTGAACTTTATCAATTTTTGATGGATTTGGGGAAACTCCATTTCCACTAATAATATGTTCTAAAAAGGCTAATTATTGTTTTCCAAAACAACACTTATCCCTTCCTAATTTTAGTCCAGCATTTTGAAGACATTTAAAAACCTTTTTTAAGTATTCCAAGTGTTCCTCAAAGGGTTTTGAATAAATAGTAATATCATCAAGATATACTAAAATAAATTTATTTTTAAGGTCAGAAAAGATTTTATCCATAACTCATTGGAAAGTAGCAGGTGCATTAGTTAGACCAAAAGGTATAACATTAAATTCAAACAACCCATATTTAGTAATAAAAGCTGTTTTTTCACGATCCTCAGGTTTTACTTCAACTTGCCAATATCCACTAGCTAAGTCAAGAGTAGAGAACTATTTTGCACCTTTAAGAGTATCCAAAATTTCATCAATTCGTGATAGAGGATAAACATCTCGTTTGGTAATTTTGTTAAGCTTTCTGTAATCAATACAGAGTCTAAGTTTACCATTTTTCTTTTTTACCAAAACAACAGAAGAGGTCTATAGACTTTTTGATGAAGATATAAGCTTATTTTTAAGCATCAAAGAGAGTTTCTGTTGGATAAATTCATGTTCAGCTAAAGACATACAGTAGACCCTTTGATAAATAGTAGGACATTTTCAGTTATAATTTAATGTTGGTCAATAGTTGTTTTGCCTAGATCATTCATTCCTTTGGAAAACATATAGTTATTTTTGATTAAGAACTGCTATAATTGTAAGTTATTTATAGAAGAAAGATTTGTTTTCTCAAGATCCTCCTTAGTAGCAAAACAACTTATTGTTTCTCTCACTTGTATACATTTTGAACATGTTTTTTGTAGTTGATTACAATGATATTTTACAACTCGAGGATCACTAGTTTGTTTACAATAAAAATTATAATTGTTGAAAGATTCATTTTGATATTTAACTTGGGTATTATTAATTTCAAGTATAGATTTTTCATCAGAATTTTCTATAACTAAGAATCCTTTAGATTCCTTCTGTTCATCATCTGATGATTCATATTCATCCTTACTAATTTCACTAGAATTAGTTTCAGCAGATGAGGTTTGGTTATTTGAGTCATTGGACTCAGAAGAGTTTTTTAAAGAAATAGGTTTGCTATTATTATATTGTGGCTTTTCCCAATATGTAATAGGTAAAATATAAGATTTGTTGTCCCAAGTAAATTTAAATTGTCCTCTTTTTAAATCAATAATACCTTGTACTTTGTTAAGCCAATTGACTCCAGCAATTATAGCATAACCTTGGATATCATTTACTTCTACATCAATAGGAATGATAGTATCAGATAATTGAAGAGGAATATTATTAATAATTCCTAATAATCATTTTTTTCCACCATTAATATTAGTAAAATAAAGATTAGATGGTTTTTCAATAAATTTGTTTAAAAGGGCATGGCGACTTAATGAAGTGGTCAAGTTGTCACCCCCTAAGTGGCAGATCCAGGGTTCAATTCCTACTGGCGACGATTATTGAATACTTAATCTGTATATCAATTGATATGTCAACTTAATTAGGTATGCTGGTGTAAGACGCTGTAACTAAATCTCATGTATTACAAGCTAGGGCACTAATTAGGAAGGACCACTTACAAATTCTAAGTATGGCATTCATTTGGAAAAGGTTGATAGTTGGGTCTATGAAGAAATGCAAACTGTACAACCGGTGCAAATCCATGATAAGACCATATAAAGGTTATTTCCAAATACAGAGTAGGACTGCATACTGGCACATGCAATTACAAATACAAACACATGTACACAAACACAAACAAACACTATGAACAATTAAGTCTTCTGTAGGACATTAATGCAGCTGCCACCTTATTAAAAGATACATCCATTGTAGTTAGTAAGGGAATGAGGTATGGAGGCAGGCGGTAAAGCCTCTATACGCGGAGGACCAGAATAATGACGGTCAGACCAAACGTACATAGCAGACTATAGAACCCTTTGCAGCTGTGAGAACCGAGCTTAAAACAGTGAGCGCCCCTACAGAAGAAAGTTTACCCAAATCATCATCAATACCATTAGACTCCTATGATTTGGACATATACTATAATCGATATCTTAATCATTATCAATTACCTTTACTTAGAGAACCACAAACTATCAATTCATTTAGGCAACATTTAACACTAAACAATGCCAAACATCTTGCATGTTACCTCCTTATCACAGTTAATAGTGATAGATCTGAAGCTCACGTATACTTATCGGAAGATCCTGACATATTACCAAACCTTCATATTTTCTCTATATTATATGATTCTGCTGACATTCCATTAAGATCTAAACCAAACACATCTACTTTTCTCCCTATTCCATCTACTTCTAGACATCCAAACAACAATCAAGACCAACCTCTCAACTTGTCTATTTGTACTCACAATGTCCGAGGATACAACATAGATCTTAAGCAACAAGTTTAGAAAAACTACTGTCTTTCCAATAACCTTAATATCATAAGTATAACAGAATCCAAGATTTTACAGGAAAATACTCGAATTAAACTCCAAAAATCTAGAAATTTCACCTACTACTGGTCTTGTACAGATAGTACAAAAGTAGGCACTGCAATCATGTTAAGAAACTGGCTTAAACCACATGTCCACAAGATACTTACTTTTTCTGGATATGCAGTTGCAACTGACATTCTTTTTAAACATGACTTTCGATTCAGAATTATTTCAGTTTATTTACCTTGT